CTGTCTGGCTGTCTGGCTGTCTGGCTGTCTGGCTGTCTGGCTGTCTGTCTGTCTGTCTGTCTGTCTGTCTGTCTCCCTCTCCCTCTCTCCCTCTCTCCCTCTCTCTCTCTCTCTCTCTTTCTCTTTTCATTGATGGTCAAGCCAAGGGTCTGCCGGCATTGCGGACACTTCACCTTCTTCACGGCCCTGCATTTTGGGTACAGAGACTCGACTCGCTTGCGTGTTGTTTGCTTGGGGTTCTTGTGTCTTAATGCGTTCTCTGTCCCTAGCTTTATTGGGTCTCTCTGCACATTTGCCTGCTCTTTTGCGTTAATTTGTTTCTTTCATGCGTCCTTCCTTTTGAGGTCTTGGCTTTCATTTATTTCCTTATTATCCAATGAAATGACTTGTACAGTACCTGAATCTTTCGCCTAGGCCCATCATAATACCCATACTGTCAGAGGCCCTAATAGAATGTTGTTCATCGATGTTCGCTTCTGGCACGAGCATCGAGGCAAGGCTTCCACGCACTGACACACCACATCCATTTCTGGGTCGTGTCTGTACACCCATCTGTATGAGGATCCGTGATGCAAGAAATGCAAGGGTGTGCCCACATGCTCCATTGACATCACGATAGGTTGCTTATCCTCTCCTTCCTCTTCTCTCCTCAGTTCCTCTCTCAAGAGTTTGTGTCAGCATATTGTCACCTCTGTTGCATTTCTCGACTAGTCAGCCACCTTCACCTGGTCCTCACAAAAGAGAAAAAACGCTTCTGGGCATCGGGCATCCTACCAACAGACTGGCCTCGACGATTCAGCATCAAGCAGCTGCGAGTTCATTGGAACAGGCAGCGTCACAGGACAAACCTTAGCGCCAGGTATGCAAATCTGGTGGGCCTGCAAGGGCAATCTCTCAGGAGCAGGCTACAATGTGCCCGCCAAACACATGCGCAAAGGCATCCTGAGAGGCGGAAATGAAAGCTGATGGTTCTGAAGTGAAGGCTTTGGCCCATGGCCCATGGCATCCAAAAGCGCCCATCCTGACAGCATTTGAGCTTGACCCTGAAATGCTTCACCACCAGCTGTCTGCCAATTCTGGACACTGTCGCACACTAAAGACCGGGCATCTGCTTCCACAACTCGTAGATCGTCGGTAATCCTTGGCATATATATGCTCGCAAGACTCGCAAGACTGACAAATCAGGATATCTGACAAATGGATGCAAATAACAATAAATAACACCTCTGACATGTTTTGAGATTCGATCTCCGAAACTCACAACTACATGCTTCAGAAGGTAAACTGGCCAAAAGCTCCTCTTGCAGGCAGGTTTCTGTGGGTGGTCCTTCCACTCTCGGCTGTTGTCCGACCAAGGTCCATTCCACTCGCCACCCTTTCCCCAGGGATTTCGCACCTGGGCCGAGTCTTTCACTGAAAAGGTGGCTTAGCTGCATCTCCATGCGCCAAGATTCGCAGCTGGGAACCTAGTATGTTGGGTTGAAGAAGGGGACGTCAAGCCCCTTCAGAGTTTGTTAGGTTTTTTGCTGGATGTTCCTTCCTTGTAAGATGGGTCCGCTTTGTTTGGAATGTCACTGCTTCATGAAAACATAGCTTTTGCTTCAGAATTAGCTTGTGCCACGGAACCTGCCACCTTAGTTGAGTTGCTCTCAACTGGCTGCAGGCTTGCAGCACCACATTCCTGCTGGTGTGAGGCTTCGCTGCTTAGCATCTTGGTATCGACATCGACGTGTTGCGACACAACCACGTCAGACAGGCCAACTCCGCAGCTGCTGCGCGCTCTAGCGAGAACTCGAACATCGTACTAGGTTGGCATCAAGCCCAGCATTGCCGGATCAACTCAACTGGCCAGTCGTACTATAAAATCTAGATACTCACCATCCATCATGATCCTAATCATAGTGATGTGTTCACACCCCACTCACCCTGAAAGCTTCGAAACATTGCACACACACACACAAGATTAGGACTGTCCAAAAGTAGTAAAATGAGTTCCAGGCCTCCACCAACCGTTGTCCAAACGCACACAAGACCTGGCGGGGAATCGATCGAGCTGCGAATGGTCAGGCCTTTCCAAAAATAGCTGGCCATGCTCTGCCAGTGTTACCTGAAGAACTGAGTAAGCATGCTTTGCAAGAAGACCATCAGGCCGCTTCTCCTGGGCATGCACTCAAAAAGTCAATCACAGTGTTTTCCATGTCGTTCGTAGCAAGTTCAGACTCCTCACTACCGCCCTCCCCAATGGAGCAGCTGATGGCCTAGGTCCAAAAACATACACTCAGCCTGCTACTGAGTTTAGCCTCTGAGTCTGATGCATAACCTGCCTGAGTGTAGGAAGCTAAGGCCTCAAATCTTGCATCGCAAGGACAAATCCAAAGAGAGCGAGAGAGAGACATCTTCTCAAAGCTTCGAGGTGCAAATCTCAACGGCTCCGGCTCGGCGACTCTCCCATGAAAACACAGAGCAGCATAGAGTTTAGAGGAACATACTTGAGGACACTGGGGACGAAAGCGAGGGGTGTGGAAGGATCAAGGGGACGCGGAGGGAGGGCAGCAACGCAACGCTTTCGTGCCACGAGCGCAAAGTGTTGTTGGCTGAGTCAACCGAACACTAAAAAAGCCTCGACTTTCATATTGTCTTTTCTAGGCATTTGGTATGCTTTCTCACAAGGTTCAATTCACTTTACAGGGGGGCCCCCCCTCCTTAGACGTTTCAATCTGCAATTGAAATATAAATTCCTTTGCGAGGGAGGGGGGTTATTGAAAGAATCAAAAAAAGGGAGGGGGGGTGGCCCCCCCCCTCGGCTGACCCCTCCCTTTAATTGAAAGAATAAATTAGTTCACTGAACCTTTCAATTTTGAGCCTCACCATATTTCGTAAACAACAACTTCCGCTGAGCTCCTTCTGAGCTCGCTTTCGTGACATTTACAATTTACACACTGCGCCCGTGGCACAAATAGCAGTTTAAGCCGGAACGAGGAGCAAGGATGCAAGGCTGCTTCAGGTAAGAGATGCTAAGAGTACGTAACCATCCCCCTACTGTACCAAGGGACGTTGCCACCTGAGTGCATTGGGCAGACTCCGACGGGGAAGTGATGTGGCACAGGAGAGCTTGCCATGCAAGCTTGGCGGCGACACCCTGCCTATTGGCATCTTTTGGCCTTTGGCCATTTCCGATTTCCAGAAGCACGTAGGCCGTCGCTAGTAGGTTGGCCATCACTAGTAGAATTGTTGGGAGAAATGGCAATCTCGGGGAGTTGATAGCATTTCTCGAAAGAGATAAAGAGCTTACAGTACTCCTTGAAGTGAAGAGAATGCCAACCTAAATGCCACCGATCTCCTTTCAATCACTTGAACGGAGCTGGTCTGCAACCTTGGAGTTCTCAATGAGCTTGACCGGTCTATCGTTGACCCTTATATAACCTGTCCGTCGGTCCGTCCTGGTCGAATAAAATCAAGACCCTCCTACCGGATGATCCTCAGGGTCGAAGTGGTCGAGTGAGTAAAAAGAACATGTCAGGACCATTAGCGAATACCAACAAGCCAGGCATGAACAGTTTCGAAGTCAAAAAGAAGGCTTGAGATCTGCACCTCAAACATTCCATCATCATTCTGGGTTTCAGCTGGTCCTTTCCACCTTCCACCTCGCATGCCCTCAACGCCTGAGAAGGTTCGCTTCAACGATTTGGGCCGAAGAAATTCTCTTGCACAACTGTTCTGCATGAGTTCCTGAGAGGCTTGCGCCACTGTTCTGCTGCTTTCCTCCCCTTGTCTTCCTCTCGTGAGAAGCAGTCCTGAATCGTTGTGTTCAATGCGCCACACGGGGAAACATGCAAATGCTTCAGGTCAGCCACACACACACACACATCACATGCACCAACATAATGCTTGCATGTCATCAGCCAAGTTGCCTGTATGTCGCACATCTCCCATCCTTATTGCATACGCAGCAGGGTCACTCTGACAAGGTCGGGCTCACCGAACGAGCACGGCACAATTCAGACAAAACGCGGGTCCAGGCTGCGTCCTTTCGCGTCCATCTTGCCATCCAAGGTTGGCCTGTGAGGACCTTCAAAAACTCCGAAAACCCCAAGCACCCAAGCACAAGCCTCGACCCCTACTGAGGATTGTCACAGTCTGTTGAATCCTCTTGATTTTTTACGAACACCTGCTTCCACGGCGTTCTTTCTTCCACAAACTCGGCCTGCCACGCCCAAGTGGTACTTCCACCAATGAGCCCCTCATAGCTCCCGACAAACCTTGCCGGTAGTTACGTAGTTGGTGTTGTCTCGACGACTTTTGTGTCTCCTCCAAGGTGCTGAGGTCCTGGCTTCGCAAACGCCTTCTCGAGCAGCAATGCCTCAGCTCCCACAGCCGTGTGCCACGGCAACATCGAAGCCCACGAAGGCTGGACTCCAACAACTCGAAGGCCACGACCCAAAGACTTCCACCTGAGCCACGAAAGTTCCGGATTTTTGCGGCAAGCCTATCCGACAGGTCAAAACCTGAAACACAGCTAAAACTGCCTACAAGTCACTGTCCCCTTCGAGCTGAGCAAACAAAGGAGTTCCATATTTGTCGCAGGGAAGCAAGGTGTCAATAACCACATCCTTGGACATCATACGTGCAATTCGCTAAGACACTAAGGAAAGTGGCGTGGACAACAAAACACTGTCCACGGCGTTTATATGTTAGGACCAGCACAAGGTTTTTAAGCTAAGCTCAAGGCCTGCCACCCATCTCTGATGTGAAAGAGTCGCACCACACATCCTCAGAGTTACATCAGCCAACCGTCCTGGGGCAAAAAAAGACCATGGACGTAATTGTAGCACACCTGTTTCAGCTGGTTCTGTTTATATATATATATACTTCACTGAAGTGAGCCACTGTTTTGAAGAATTCCAGACATCATCAGAATGCCCCCGTTCCCCTTGTGCGTGGTGTGCTTTCAAATGTCAACGCACCATCTCTTTAACCCTAACAGCCACTCAGTGGGAGAAGTATATCACATGGGTAGTACATGGTAGTACTAAACTTCCATATTTCCTGAAACGTCGATGAGCTTGGCTACATCCATTGCTACCTCACATGGCGCCTTTTTACAACAAGAATCACGTCAGCTAAAGCGTTGCCAAGACTCTGCCATCGTCAGGGATGTCTTTATTTTCCTCACCAAGCAGTCCATGCCAGGCCATGCAGCAGCCATCAACACACGGAACACATCCCCCCACCCGCTGAAGCCAGTCCTCTGCCGGCTCCGTTCACAACACCTACAGCCTATGGACCTATATCTATATTATAACGAATTACAGTAGACTATTATAGACTTCTGTTCATTGCACCGGCACCCTTCAATCTGCAAGCAAGTATCGAATAGATTCATAATATGTCCAGGAAAGTCTGCCATGACCTCATGTTTGTAAATAACTCCAGCCACAGTTGTGTTTGTGTAGCAAGCTTGTGAGAAAAGCTCGTGCAAACATCTTGCTGAGGAAAAGGCTGCGATCGCAGCCAAAAGCCAACAATCACCCAGCTCACCTTGCTTGATATTGTCTGCCTGCCAGCTGAGACCGAATCTGCTCTATGGGAACAGAGTCTGCGTGTTGCCTGTATCACCGAGAAGAGGGTCGCATTCCTGGGTGAAGGAACAAGGCCCAAGAAAACGTTCAAAGACATGACGAAATCACAAGACCTTCCAGCTAATTGTATAAGCTTAAGTCTTAAGTCTTAAGTATGCAAATTGAGAAGTGTTGGGCAAACGCAGCTCTCACCTTCTTTGTTGCCCAAGTTTGTGCAATTATCCGGGCTGTCCGAAGCTGGCCAAGTAGAATGGCCCTGGAGGAAATTGAACATGGCATAGCCAAGCATCGGGTGAAGCTTCTTCCCTGCTCTTATCCATTTGAACGGCTTCCGCCACTCCTGATATAAAAGAACTGGATTCTTTGCCTTCTTTATGTTGGCTGCCCTACCCTGATAGCTGTTACAGGGAGAAACTTACATAGTCAAGGTCACCGAAAGGAATGACTGCCAGCCTGTCCTGTACATCACAGGAACCCAGGGCAGAATCACCTCGAAACTCCTCATCAACGAAGAGGGATTCTTCGCCTCGGCTCAAGCTTTGGCGTTGAAGTTTGAGACATGCTCACCTCCGAGGGAGAAGCCCATGGGCAAAACAGGCCAAAGGGAGGAATCCCAGAACGCTCGCAGCTGCCGAATGTGGAATTTCTGGAAAGTTTGAGTCTGGCGTTGTTCTTGTGACTTAATCTGTGTTCTTATAAAGGGCCACTAGGCAGCTGTACATGTTATGGCTTGGGTCTGCAGTGGCACCGGCCGAGCGAACCAAGGTGCAAAGTGAATGAAAGTTCGTCCTAATCATGTCCGTTCCGGTGAATTAGCAGATTGCAGGTTGTGGCCTTTTGCACGTGCAGGCTTGAGAAGCTTAAAAGCTTCATGAGCTTGGGAAGCTTCATCTCCTCTTTACCTTGGCTCGCGCTTCCCAGCTTAGGAGTCAGGAGCGAGAAGAAGAAGAAGAAGAAGAAGAAGAGAAAAGAAAAAAGAAGAGTTGTCTTTCCTGTTCTATATCTTTCCTCTTGGCTCCTCTTGGCTCAAAGCAAACTTCAACATAGTTACATCGTCCCTCCGCACGCCACCAAGCAAGAGAGCGAACAGACCTAGCGAGACAGGGCACAAAGAATTACAAACAACCACAACTGGCTGGAACGGGCCATGCAATACATGCAAGCAAGGCACTAGAACAGAGAACCAACCGACGACGCATGGCAAAAAGAAGCACATCCTGGTAAGGGTCGGCAAAGACAGCAAAGAAGATGTTGCTAAGCACACCCCCGTGCTGAAGGGCAGTATTGAAACCTCATGTGGCAGCAAATGGGCCGTTCTGCTCAAATTCCGTTGCTTGAAGTTCAACTAAAATGGTGCAAGTGCCAGCTCTGCACAGAGTGCCTCGTTCAAACAAACTGTACAAAAAGGAGGAGACAAAGAGAGCAGTGCCAGCTGCAATGCAAGGAGCACAAATTAATCCGATCCTTGGCTGCACAAACGCGGCATCAGAAAGCCAACACACCAGGAAAGGTGTGCATGTTCTATCTCTGTACCATGGCTCCGTATGGTCCACATGGTGCACACTTCGCCCTCTGCAGCTTCAGTGCCCTTCTTGCTTGTCTTGCTAGGCCCCAAGACCACTTGGTTCGAGACCTCGGTCAACAGAAAGCAACTGCAAAGTTTTGCCGACCAAGAGTGACTTTTGCCACCAGGCTGCAGAGGACAATAACGTGCAAAGGAAAGCCGCCTCATTGGAAGGGGTAGCCCAAATTGGCCTCCTGACTTGTACGGTACAACATGTTTGTAGGCTGGCCACTTAGGGTGGTATCCAATGGCTCGGAAGTGCAAACTGTAAATCCATAAGGCAGCATCGAAAAGTACCTTTTTTCAATTCAAGTTTGGGTGGAGAGACACTGTCTGTTAGTGCTCAGCATGGTGCTGCAACCAAGATGCTGAATTGACAAATCTGAAGGGATGTTCAGCTTCACAGTGTTGAGGATGGAACAGGCAAAGCTGGCATCGCAAACCATCAGCCTCGTACCAGCCCAGCAGGTAGAGCACGATGCAAATCTGCCAAGCATCGTTGACAGAGGGTCAATGGGAGCCTTTTCTTTCACAGCTGTTGGCACAACCAGAGTTACAGTGTGTGCATATGTCGACGCTTGCATGAAAGGCCTGCTGCGGTATGTCCATGACAAGCAACTTGATCAGAATGACACTTTGGAAGTAGCCGCGCTGGCCATTTCTTTCAACATCCTTCTCCTCCTGTTGGCAAACATGCCACTATGGCATCAAAGCCTCTGTGCATGCTGGATGGGGACTACTAAAATGCCTCTAGGCAGTAGTAAAGGCCCTACACTTGTGATGGTGAAGAAGGTTTTGGTCGCGACTCAGCAGCCTCCTGCGCCTCAAAGTTTAGCTCCAGGTCCTCTGTCTTCTCCGTTTGAGCAACACTTGTGGAATACACAGCCTCAAAAAACAAGTTGCCAACGTGTGCAACTGCAAGGCTGAAAAGCTTTCTACAACCTGCCAGGATCCCCTACTGCAATCCACAACTCAAAAGGCTGTGACATACTGCAATTAAGCGACCCATGTAGCTAAGGCACCCAAAGGCAGAAGCCATCCCAACAAATCTCTGCACCATGCAAGAGCACGATGATGATGCCCTTGGTGCTGTTTGTTGAAGGCCCTCCAGGCTGCTGTCAGAGAGCACGAGCTTGACGGAAGTATTTGGCCCAAATGAGGTGATTGAAAGTCCTCCACAAAAACCATAAACCGCTGCGACCCGCGAGACATCCGCGAGGAAAAGGCAGAATTCCGAATGATGGCCTCCCAGCGAACATATCCTTGTTTCTGCACTGAATTTAGGGCCTCTCGGGACATATCCTCTATAGTCAAGACCTTGGATCCAGATCCAGCACGTTGAAAGTGTTGGTCGCCCGCGGGCGGTGGCTCCAATCTTTTCACTTCCAAGGACCAATGTCCATTCTCATTGATGACGTTCTCATGATCTTCATCCCCTGAAACTTTTGTGCTTTCTCCGGGTCGTTGAATGGGCTCCACTGACAGCAAGAATATCACTGGAGCAAAGTGGGTATCAAACTGAAAAATATAGGTTGAATTGAAGCTGCGGCTTATGCCACTTCCAGCTCTGACGGTGCCATTTCCCAACGGAATCAACCCTTGAGTGACTTCGAGTTCAGCACGTTTGTCTCGAAGCTCCTTTATTCGTGCAGCAGTCTCCTGCTGCAAGTGTGCAATCTCCGCATCAATCGCTTCAACTGAATCTAAATATCGGGAGAAAGATTCCAATCTGTATGGCCTTGGCTTCAGCTCACTATGCCATGAACTGGATCTCCCCTGCAGCACAAATTCTTCCCATGCTGACACGTTCCACAGTGGCCCCATGCACACCCCGTGCTTCGACCGTTCTGGCGCGCAGTTGGTCCTCAATGTCTCCTCATAAAGGCTGATGTTTCCTCGCACCTCCTGCCAAAAGTGACCTTGCAAAAGAAGCGCTAGAATCTGAAAAGCTAACCAAGCCCGAATGGTCAAAGAGTGCGGCTCTTGCAAAGTGAGCCCAGTACTGAAGAAGCCGCACTCCTCATCCAAAGCTCTCTTCCTTCTGTGCCGAGCCATGGCCACAGAACGATGGCCGTTGCTCTTATGTCTTGGCCTTCCTGAGCTGCCATAGTATGCCTGGCCACTAGGGTCACCAAAAAGAAAAGCATAGCTACACCAAAGGAAACATACCGCTGAACAAGCTAGAATTATTGGGAGCAACCCTGTCAAGCCATAGAGGCGTTCGGCGTTTGATATTTTCTTTTGATGAGTCCATTCGCAAAAAATGCCACAAGGGATCAACGCAAGCAGAGGGCCCGTGTTGCCATCCAGCTTGGTCACAGTCTTCACTACCTTGCCATGGCGTCATCAAAGATCCTTGCGTGCTTAACGTTTGCGAATCGGTTTTCAGCGTTCCTGCAAGGCCCCACAAACCCCACCTCTTCTGAGAGCACGGTCAACTGTGAGTCAACAGTTTTTGCACTTTCGAGGGTGTCGGGGGACATTGTCACAGAGTTTACATGAACATACAAATGCAACTATATCACGCACTCTGTCACGCATTCACGCACACTGTATACACAGCTTTTGGCAGCTAAAGCCCATAGTATTCGGCGAATTCAACTACAATCTCCCGCCACAAGCCTGTTGTGCCGCCTTGCAGGTCCTTGCATCACCACTTTTTTTACAGTAGGTGGTAGGTGATCAAGAGTCATGGCTTTGGTGGTTTGCCAAAGAACTGATTGAAGATTCCGCTAAAACAACTCCCCGATTAGAGTTCTCCCCAATGCGACAAATTGCTGGGCGCGCGGCGCCAGGAACAGAAAAGCTTTGAAAACAATGATGCAAGTCTGAAAATGAGATGGCTGTGGCTGTGGCTGCGCAAAAAGCCATTGGCGTCCGTGTGCCCCAACAATCATCAACACTCTTTTCACCCTGCAGCTTCAGCTGTACAGTGAAAGTCTTACAGCCTGGTGAAGAAATCCTTGGCCTCGGGGCCGCTTGTGGCCGCAAGCCATCAAGGCTACCCAGTATCTTGGGCAGGTTCTAGATCCCCCATGTAGTGGTTTTGTAATCCTCTTTATGTGTACAAAGATGGTCAGTTGGTTACAAAGCAGGAAAGTTTGAGAAAACTGGCGTCTGTCGGTGTTAAACCTTGACAATCCTTAAGTGTCTGTCCGAATTGCATCTCTATACAGTGGCCCAGCGCTCAGAACAAAGGTGCCATATGGGGACAGTGACGTCATTGAATCTCGAAAACTTTCTTCATTCCAATGATCAGCTCCCAATCTTCCTTGATCATCTCATCCTTGAAGTGTTCCTTCAAAGTATCTATGCTCTGCCGACTGATGTGGGAGTAGAGCTGGCTGGTGTGATCAAAGTGCCGCCCAAACATGATGTGGTTTTGGGCCGTCGTCTGTTCAATCTTCACACAAACGGTGTCACCTCGACGTGCCTTGGGAACTGACTTCTTGTTGTTCTCAATGCCAGCCACATGGCCTATGGCCAAGTTGCCTTTGTCTGGTATGCACAACGGGGTTCCAACACGAAGTTGGCCACCAACAACCTGACATCCCAAAATGATAGGATCTTGCTTGCGGAAGATGTGCTGCTTGTCAATCTGCAGCACAACAGGAAACACGGCAACTTTTCGAGTTTCTGTCTTCTGTGATTCTCGAAACTTCTCCATGTATTTGGTGAACTTGTCCTGCAAGTGGTAGATGATGTCGGCAGTGAAGATAGTCACACCATCCGTATCTGCCTGCTTCTGTGCTTCCTGGTTGACCTTGACGTCAAATGCCAGAATGAGCGCATATTCGGGGTGCTTCTTCTCCTTCATGATGCAAGCTTTCTTGACATCCTTTTTGTGAACTTCGCCAATCCCCACGTCAAACACAGGAATCTTCATGTCCTGCAAGAAAGACAGCAAAGCCTCCAAGGAGCCCAAGGTGCTGGCTTTCACGTAGACACCCGCGGGTTCCTTCTCAAAGTCATTCAAGATGCTCTCCTGCAATCCAAGTGACCCGGTTGCAAGAGTATCGCTCCAAAACTTTTGCAGCAATCCTCTCCTAACTATCGCAGACAAGCATCGAACCCTGCGCTGACGTCTTCTTTCAGCTCTTCAATGTCATCATCTGGGCCAACAACCTAGTACAAATCATCTGTGAGTGAGTGGCAAAAAGAAGGACATTGGACAAAATGCATCAACCTAAATATCACAACCATCGCTTTGACCAATGCAGCCGAGATTCGAGCAACTCAGTTCCAGCCACTGCATCCTCCAGCCCAGGTGCTGAAATCTTGATTCCCATGGATGTACTGATCTGTTTGTGCGTCACATACTCGTTCCTTAGTCTCTGAGAAGTGACGGGAGTTGCAGCAACGGAGCTGCTGAGATTAGCCCCTGCCAGTCCCAAGCTCAGGAGATTCGCACGTCAGTCACGGCAGCATTCAAAAACACGGACTCATTGTGCTGGCATCCGGGGGGCGGGAAAAGCACCTGACTGCAAATCATGTTCAAGTGTCAAGCGGGACGGGTATTTTTTGATAAGGAGACCCCCAACCAATGGGCCCCAACCAATGGGTATTGGTCTATTTTCGTTCTTCCAGGGGGTCTTTAAGACACAGGCCAGCCAAACGGGCTGGTGCAAACCCCATTCCCCACTGCCGAAGCCTACAGAGAGTGCGAGGGGCCAAGGCTAAGCGGCTAAGCAAGCAAAGGAGGCCGACGCCAGGAGATTCCGGTTCACAAGGGTAGCAGCGCAGCAGCCAAAAGTAGCAAAAGGACTAGCCCACACTTGGAGCAACTTGGGTGCACAATGTCTAAGAGGGCCTGAATGGCAGTGGCTAGGCGTCTAGAAGTCCGGCTCAAGCCAATTCTTCAACTGGGAAGACTTCCCACGGCTCCTGGGAGCCATGTATCTTTGGTGCACAACTGAGTTCATCTGTAACTGGCTTCTTACTGAAGCTCTACCTATAAGTTGAATGAAAACTCGTTGGATACCCTCAGCCTCTGGCTCTATGTTGGTTGCACAACCATGCTGTTCGTGTCCTCGGCTGTGCTCCGACGGCAACTTTTGTGTTGTCTGAGCAAGGTGGTCCAGAAAACCTGCCGCAGTGCTAGCAGTAAGCAGCATCTCTTGTTTCGCTTCAGTGCTGATTCAGCAGTCCAGCAACAGCAAGGATCCAAGCCATGTTCTGGTGGCGGCAACTGATTGCACGTAAGCAAAAAGCGGAACGAAACATGCCAACTAGTTATTTTCTGTCATCGATTTACAGTGTGGTTGCCTTCCTCTACAAAATATACGCGCCGGAAATGCTAGGGATGTGGATTGAATATTGTCTTCATGGTCCCTGCAGAAATCTTTGGAACCAATGGCTCTCTTGTCATCTTGTGAGAAAGCGGGAACATTCTCATCTTGTGAATCCAACATGAAATGCGATGGTTGGGGTTGGAACACAATCACAGCCTTAGAAAAGGAGAATGCGGAGAATGCGGTCAGGATCTCTGTGACGCCAAAGGAGTGAAAACAAGTCGATTGAAGACTTACTGGCAAGATCCAACAAAACATCGAAAGTCCAAGGCGAATGCCCTTCAGAGGTTCTGGCTTGGGACTCACACACATCAAGCAAAGTCTCTTCACTCGCATCTCCTTCATCGGCTGTGGAGTGAGAAGAGCACGGATTGTTGTCACGATCGGGCCACCCAAGCCGGCCAGGACAATTTGGTCCCCTTCTCTAAGGGTGCCATTGAGAAGTACGACATCGACAGTTGTGCCCAAGCCTTCAATGTTCTTCACTTCAATCACCGTACATTCCAACTCCTCCTGGACTTCAAGCTTGTCCGCCATTAAGTCTTGAGTCAGCTTCAGAATCATGTACAACAGGTCTGGCACCCCTTCACCAGTGAGGGCGCTTGTGGGCACAATGGACACTGCCGTCCTGAAGTCGTCATTCTCCCAGTACCTGCAGACGCCACTCTTATGGTGCTCATTCAGAATTGACAAAATGCCATATGTTGCTTTGTCTGGAGACCCAACGCATCTGCGGCAAGCAAATGCATCAAGCTCTGACACGTTCTAAGCAGCTCATGCCAGTATGGTGTTCTTGTCTCTAAGCCAAGCTACAAATTGCAGTTGAGCCCGCGCTCGTTGAGCTGAAGAACCACATTCTGGAATCGGGTTTGAAACTCATCACGCACAGATTGCTCTTGCCTCTCCAAAGCTTCTTGAATACTGGTGTATGGTTTCGAGTTCCACTCGTACAAAATGTCTATCTTGTTCAAAGCAATGATGAAGGGGCATTTCCTCTTCTTCAGGAGCTCCAACGACTCCACCTCTTATTCTGCAGGGGGCTTGAAGCTCATCAATCCGAGACAACAACACATCACAAAAAGTCCTCAACCATCAACTAGTGATTCAAACTTCAATTGCTGAATCTGTACGTCAAGGAGCAGTTTGTGGCTCCAATCCGTGCCTCATGACGCAACTGTCCAGTCTCACATCAGGGTCGAGCTGGTAAAACTCTGCACAAGGCATTCTAGCCGACAATGTATACAGTGTACAGCAAACAGTACACTCGTGCAGTACTCTTGCAATTGTACGTGTGGACTTCGTTTTGAACCCTGTTTGTTTCTCACGTTTCAACATCTGAACACCACTGAGGCAGGTCCTACATTGTGCACCAGAAGGCAGTTCATGCTACTCTATCCCCCGGAACACGTGAGTTCAAGGCCAGGTGCTCCTCGGGTTCAACGTATGTCTGCAGTGGAGGCATGAAAAGGATGCACTACGAGGCACATAATGTCGATCACGAGGATCGCAAGGTCGGCCAGCGATGAACCCCGCATGCGCAAGTTGTTAAAAGATTCCTGGGGGGGTGGCTGCCAGCACGAGAATAAGCCAAGGGCAGTGCCAGCAAGTGACGGTAACTTTCACTCACAAACATGAGTTCTTGCATGCGTGGTGCCGACAAGCCACGTGACCAGGAGTGTCAATGATGAGGACTCCAGGAACCTAACGACTTGCTGGCAATGTCTGTTGGCAGGGTCTGAATGTTCAACAATGGTCTCAATATTTGTCAACACTGACTGGATGATTACAGCCTGCCTCCAACTCGAAATCCGTGTCCACCTTTTTGGTCTGCTCTTGCAAGGCGATGTCAGGGAAAAAGGTGGCACCAATTTGCTGGGTGATGCCACCAGCTTCACCCTCTTGCACATTAGTTTTTCGAATCTTGTCCAGGAGCTTGGTCTTGCCTGTGTCAACGTGCCTGGGTCAATTTCCCAGGAAGCAGCACATGAGTCTATGTGTCAAACTGGCGCGAGTGACATGAAACTGGTGAGTGCAACCAAACACCCAAAAAGACACATACATACTAAACACTACCGGGGGAAGAAATTGCGACAACCTGTCAGGCTGGGGACCCCATGATGCAAATGACAGGAGAGCGCAGTTCCACGTCCGAAGAGGAGCTGCTGTCGCTGTCACTGTCGCTACTGCCCTTCTCATCTTCCGACTCATCCTCTTCATCGGCAACGACTGCATCTTTGGGCTTGGACTCTTCTGCCTCTTCCTCAAGTTTCTTCTCCCAATCGTCATCTTCATCCTCTTCTTCTACCTGTGGCTCTTCCTTCGCTGGAACTTTTTCGTCCTCAGGTGTGGGAACTGGTTCATCCTCCGGCTTCTCCTCAGCTGGTTTGTCTTCTGTGTCCTGAGGTCGCCGTGGTGGCTTCTTCTTTTTTGTTGCCATTGGCCTTCTCTGCGGCCTTTCCCCGTCGGCTTCAGCATCCTCATCCTCATTCCTCTCCATGGTGTAGCCAAACTGCTCTCGCAACTGCGCAGCACGCTGGGCTTGCATCTTCTGCTTCTTGGTCAAATAAGTGCCTGCGATGAAGCTCCCGGACAACATACATTAGTAAATCGAAAAAAAGGTCAAGCCTAGACTCCTAGACTCTTGCAGCCTTCTTGAACAAAAAACAGCCGCCCACTACCGGTCGGTCACTACCACCGCCACCAGACTCAATATCAAATCTTGCCCAGTGCCTTCCGCTTTCTGCTTCGCTATTTTGGCAGCCTTTGCATCTCGCTTCCGCTGTCGCTCCTCCTCTTTCTTCCGCTCCTCCTCTTCAATCTGCCGTTGCTCTTCCTCGACTCGAAGACGTTCTGCTTCCTCAAAGGCTCTCCTCTCCTCTGCAAGCTTCCGTTCTTGTTCTTGGCGCTCCCTTGCAGCCTTCACAACTGCACTCTCCTTCTTGCCCTTTGCAGCCTTGCTCAGTGCTTCATCCTTGCTAGAAGCGGCTTCTTTGCTGCTGCTGGCCTGTTCCTTGCTTTCTGTTTGCTCAGGCTGATCTGCAGGAGAGGTGGCCCACATGCCTTCGCCTCCTGTCTTCTCCTGCTGCTTTGCCTTCTTCTTCTCCTTCTTCTTTCGATTTGCAAGAGTTTTCGCATCAAGGGCTTCATCTTCAGCCTTGTCAGCGTCTTCAGGCTCAGGAGCAACACCTGGAGTTGGCTCTTCAGGCTTAAACTCTTCAAGAGCTGCCTCAAACTCGTCTTCAGCGTTGGGTTCTTCCTTTTGATTGCCTTTCTTCTTGTCCTTCTTCTTCTGACTTGCGCTTTTGCCTTTTGGCTCCTCCTCTTTTGGCTCTTTCGGAGTTTCCGCAGCTGCCGTCTCTGGAGGCTTTTCTGGGGCATCTTCTTTGAAGTCCGCGAGAATGGCGTCCAAGTCCTCATCGTCCTTCTCAGCTTTCCCTGTCACAAAAGCGCTTGCAGTTGCAAGAACGGGTTGCCATCAGCATCGTGGCCACCATCACCATACTGTCATGCCATCGTCCCATCATACAGTCAGTCATGCTGTCAGTCATGAGAATACCTTCATCCCGAAGGGCATCATATTTTTGGATGTGTCCCAGCCCCATTATTCCGATGTCATCCGGACCTTTACCAAAAGCCTAGGCAATTCCTCCTCCACTGTAACAGTATCATGCTCCCTTACAAGAATAACAATACAAAAATAGTAGCAGGAGTAGGAGAAGTGTCGGAGTAGCAGTGGAAGTAGCAGCAGCAGTAGGAGCAGCAGCAGTAGTAGTAGCAGCAGCAGCAGCAGTACTAGTCGTCGTCGTCGTCGTCGCAGCAGCAGCAGCAGGACAAGGAGGAGGAGGAGGAGTAGGAGTAGTAGTAGCAGTGGTGGTAGTAGTAGTCGTCGTCGTCGTCGTCGCATCGCCATCCTCATCCTCATCCTCATCCTCATCCTCATCCTCATCATCATCATCATCATCATCATCATCATCACGCGTAAGACTAAAGCACCTGCAAAGCACGGCAGCCTGTTGAAACTTGAAACATGAGCAGCAGTAAATTGAGAATTGAGGCCTTTTTTCTTCTTACCCTTCTTGTCCTCCTTGGCACTCGCTGCAGCTGATGCCTTTGCTTCCTCCTCCCGTTTTTGCTGTTCTTCTTTCTCTCTCTGCTGGAAGGCTGCCACTGCTTCTTCATAGGACGGCGCTGAAGCCCCTACTTCAGCGGTCTCAGCCAGCATCACCGCAAGATCACCATTCAACACATCCGTGTCCCATCCCATTTCTTTGGGCCCACAGAACATGCCTGCACTCTCGACTCCTCCCACCTTAGAGACCTTCACCTCCACTCCATTGGCAGTTGTATAGCCAGGTGGTGCAGCAATGAACTTCGCCCCTGCTATCACATTAGGTGCACTTGTGACGATCTCGACTGGATCTATTCCAGGAGCGATCAAAACCTTGCATAGCTTTAGTTTGTCCTTCTTCGGAATCGCTGACACCTCAGCAATTTCACAAACTGTCGGACCACGTTTTTTCTTTTCCTTCTTATCTTTCTTGTCCTTCTTTTCTTTTTTGCCATCCTTCTCGTCTTTTTCCTCCCCGGTGTCTTTCTTTTTCTTCTTCTTCTCGCCAAACATGGCCATCTCCTCACTAAACTCCTTCTTCTTCTTTCCATCAGATTTCTCTGACTTCTTCGGCGAGGGCGAGGACTTTTCCTCCTCCACCTCCTCCTCCTCATCCTCTTCATCTTCATCCGAGTCAGCCATCATCGCAAAGAGGCTCTTGCCTGCCTTCTTTGGGGCTGGTTCTGGCTCACTGTCGGAGTCAGAGTTTGCTGGCTCCTCCTCAGATGGCTCTTCCACCTTCTCCTGTCTCTTCTTCTTTGGTGGCATTTTGCCTCCAGGAGAGGTGCCCTCAAGGCAAATCTATTCCTCAAGGATGTGAAAGTCAGGGTTGCAGTTTTGGCACGCCCTTGCGGACGGGCAATTGGCACCGAATGGCACGCCCCCTAGCCAAAGTGAACAAGTGTCTTGGCAGGAGTAATTAGGTCTCACCTTGTTCCTTGGGACCTAGTTTGTGTGTTGTGTTGCGTTGCAATCGGTGCTTGAACGTACGTGATGCATTGTCCGAATCATGGGAAATTGGGCCGAAAACCTCTGAACATCTCCAGGTTGTGCTCCAGTTGCTCGTTGATTGCACTGGTATTGCACAGGTCACCTTCTATAAAGTCAATCGTGCCAACGAAACTCCATCTTTTCAGACATAACCTTCAATGTAAAGCAGCATGCCAAGGACGACTTGGGCGCCCTCCGAATTTGCAAGACCTATCCACATGTTCAGCTGTGTCGGGTAATAAGGAAAATAACGGCACGTCTTCTCGCTATTGGAGTGTGCTCTAAAGATCTATGGAAAGAAGGACCGGCAGTTTCGCGCAATCTGTACATCGAATCAGATCTAATTAGAAAAACCAGACCTAGATTCTCTCAAGCGCTTGCTCGCACAACAGGCACTTCACCAGGACATTGGTGCACTCGTTCCAATCCTGGTGATAAACCCAAACATCCAAACGAATTTGCAGGTGGGCTAGCATGTGGGCAAAACAGTTCCTAAGAGGCGCAAACAAGAAACCGTGGCCGTGGCGAAAAGCAATCTCGCTTCGCTTCAAGCATGCCTTCAGTTGAAGCAGGTTAAACACGTCAAATGCGGCAGCAGTCTCATGTCGCTTGCACACTGGCATTGAACTACAGGGTCCTCCGCGCAGTGTCGTTGCAGCTCCAAGCTCCAACTTTCAAGCTGAAGCATTAGGTCCTCTACCGCCGATATGACCGTGCTGCGTTTTGGAGGCGGAATGATGTCCTCAAGCAAATTGTCCAGAGAACAAATTGTAGAACAAACATGTTTTTCCTCCCCACTGGGGACAAAAAACAACAGACGAGGCACAAAATGATCGAAGTTCCCCTTGCTTACGGCAGACTGAAGCAATAGATTCCAGACAAGCTCACTGTCAGACCTATTTCGATGCCCAGTACTTCCCTGCAGGACCAGTTTCACTTCATTGAACTTTGATTGAATTGACCGAAGGGCGGCGTCAGTGCCCAATACAGCCAACTCAGGTTCTAAGGCTTCACCGAGGGCAGGCTCACTCCGCTGGCGACGGAGACGTTGCAACTGTGCTTCCCCGGCCCGCTGCCGCAGCTCTGCATACACAGGGACTTGCACAAATCTATGAGGCAACAAATTTGAAATTAACGGTGTGAGGGATTCGTTGCTCTCGAAGTACGTGAGCCACACAATTCGAGGCAGCACCAAGAACAACTCTGCATCAAAGTTCGCACACATCGAAGCAAAGTCACTGCACATCTGCGTGGCTCTCAACAATCGTGGCACTAGCTTGCACAGAGCGCCTAGGACAGGCCGAGTCTGGATATATCGAGCTCCTGATATCCAGGCCTCTTCCCAGCGCATTAAAGTCTTCACCAAGTCCTCATTGTGGCAAAGCTGCGGGTTGAGGTCATCCAGCTGTGGGTCTTCCTGGCGCATGACTCGCAAACATTGCCGCAGCTCCTCAAAGGACTGCAGAACCTCTTGGGCGATCACTCGTACTGCCTGCAAGGGTGTGTCTGGATCAATGGCGCACATCTTTAGAAGGGCGTCAGCATTCTCCCAAACATCTGCAGTCAGCTCGTCAAAGGTCTTTCGGTTCACGTTGGCTGCGACGTTCAGCTGGGAAATGCAACCGACAAAAGCACCAACATGAAACTCGTACTCAGCACTTTGGTCCTTGTCAATCCCAATTTTCTCCTCCAACTGTGACAGCATTTCTTCCACCTCCATTGCTTTGGCAACAAGGCCCTTGGCCTCGTGTTGAACTCTCATTATCTCCAGTATGTACAGGTGCTCAAACTCCGCCCATCTGGCATCAAGGCTGACCAAAAGTTTGCAAAGTTCATCTTGAGCACTGGGGAGACCCATTTCTAGCGATGGAGGTAGGAGATGATCGAGCTGTGCCAAAAGCCCCTCCCACTGATCAAGCAAAGCAAAACATGCAGCTTCCTTGAAACTTCAGATGGTGCTTCAACTGCCAAAAGTATGCAAGGAAACTCAGTTCCACAAAATGATCATTCAATGTTGAATTCGTGCGTTAAACAAATTTAGCAAAGGCTCGGCATCCTGGTTCAAGTCAAATTTTTGCCCATTGGCCCATATAGCCCCACTACGTGACAAGCTTAAGCAGGCTTCCAACACAGCCACACCTTTGCAACAGGACGGAGAGCACTTGCCTGAGGAAAAAAAATATTTATTTGGGCAGTCAAGTTGCTGTATTCCCTTTGTTGGAGTTCTGCAAAATGCGCTTGGAATGCATTTCCTCAAGAAATCAAATCCAGAACCCAATAAATTTGTGAACGACTTTCCCTACACAGCTGAGCATCGATATGCTCGGGACGCTGGCTCTAGTTTCAGTGAGGCCGCCAGGGTTTCCAAAGCACCCAAAAACTGTTCTGCCGCGCTGCAGCCTTGGCAACGGGATGAAGATAAAGGCTTCAGAAATGAATTTTTCCGATGATGACCGAACATGTTTCTCTGCAAATTGAACCTTGAACATCAACCGCAGGCTCAGCTCTAGTCCCTTGTTGCTGCGGGTGTCCACGGAGGTACCTGCACACTTCTGTCTGCACTTTTCCGACGCAAGGATGAGCAACGCCGGCGCACCTGTATCGTCAAATGCTAAGTTGTTTCGTGCCGCTGCCAGTTCCACCAAATGTGCCTTGACTTCTGGACTTTCCTTATGCCACAAGCCCATATTTGCGCAGACAGCATCACGCCATGCAGCTAAGCACGGACAATACAATTCTATTGTTTAAAGGGTACTGCTGCATTGTTAGATCCAAGGCGCCCAGCAAACCTCTGACAGAGACATGGGCCCAGTGTTCCTCGCTGCTGGGCTCTTTTCAATCGAGCCATGTGGCCGCAAGGAAGGAAACTAACTGTCAAGAATATTCATAGCCACAGCCACTCCAAACAAATACATGTTGTGTGGCATGACAAGCGTCTTGGAAATCAGGCATGATACACAATGACCGGACGCTGTAGATCCGACAAGGGTTGTGATGTGGAGTTTTGTCCTGCCTTTTGCCTCTCGCCCACAGTTTTGCAATGCGAAGCACTGAACAACCGTCCTTTTACAATGTCCTGGCGGTGACCTTGGGCCAGTTGGGAAATACACACGCCCCAAGGGAATGTGTAAGCCGTCCCACTCCAGTTTTGTCCAACCGACGATCATTTTTCAATGCGCATGGCATGGCATGGCGTGGCATGGCATGGCATGCGCTGCATTGTTTTCAGTGCGGTGATTTGATCCAAAAAAATCCCGGGACACATGGCGACGTGGCTTTGCCATGGCACTTGTGTTTGCTACTGTGCCAAATTTGGTTGCTATGTGTTTTTGTTGGTGCGTGTGGTTTGCTGAAACTATTTGGAGGATCACTAATTCATTCTAGTTGGTGCATTGCAACCTTGGCATCTCTACCAAACAGTTCCGCAAAACCGGCATCAAGGCCAGTGGAAAACGAATTCTGGACACGCAGGAACCACAAAACACATCGGGATGGAAGCCTGGCCACACCCCACCAAGAATATATATGTCAACCTGAGGATGTTCACCTGAGTTTCATCATTTCATCACAGCCTCTTTCAAAAAAATACCGGCATAGACCCCAAATAACAAGATATAACGCTGGATGTAACAAGTGCATAAGCAAAAACAATTGTGGTTGAAGAAAAACTAAGGGCATTGCGTGCCAGGGATGACATCTGTCAGGGCAGGGACGATGTCCACCCCGATGCATGGTGCCTTGTGGTATGCATGGTGTACTGCCAGGGCAACATCACCCCGTGCCAAGGATGAAATCATGTCATCCCCTGGATAACCGCATATCATATCATATCATATCAAATCATATCATGCCATATATCATGCCAGGGACAACATCATGCCACACCAGGGGCCAGCAACAGCACCAACAACAGCACCAACACCAGCAGCAGCAGCTGCAGCCCCCGCACCCGCACCCGCACCAGCACCAGGACACCCCAAGAAAACGCCGAGCGAGCACCAGCACCCGTGCCAGCACCCACACCAGCACCCGCGCCAGCACCTGCACCAACACCTGCACGAGCACACTGAGCACACCCCAAAAACGCGCCAGCACCAGCACCCGCGCCAGCACCCACACCGCAGTTTGTCAGCTGCTGTCTGGAACTTGTGGTGGGGTTTGGTTACACGGTTTGATAGCCGGATTATGCGTTGCACCGGCGGGCGGGGCAGAGAAACAACAGTATATTTGATGAACTAGTTTTTGGTGGAGCGCTCTGGCTGGCATTCATGTGGCCCATTTTACGAGCACAATGTTTTATGGCAGCGCTTGCGCGTCCCGCCTTTGAACTGGCTGCCTTCACCAGTTTGCGCTTTGGAAGTCTGAAGGCAAGATCACTCACCGGAGGCGCGTCGCCCCCGACGTTAGCCGCATTTGCCGCGGGGAACGTGAGGAGGGAGGCGCGGCGGGTATAGCAGCCCCGCGCCGTGGTGCGAGATTGAGTTTTTTTCCTCTGGCATGCAGCTGAGGTGGCACTCCCCGCGAGCGCTACGTATACTACGTACAGGGAAGACGCGCCCTCACGCGCGCACAGGCTGGCGGCTCTGGGCAGAAGGCCCCGAGAGCGCCAACACCTCCGCAAGTGGAGGGGTCGCGGGAGCGCCGTGTGGGGCAAGGCGGCGCGCCAGCCGTTGCCGAGCAGGAGGGTGGGGCAGAGCGCGCTCTGGGCAGGGGCGACGGTGCCACCGCTGCTGGGCGAACTGCGGCAAGGCGCAGGGCGACGCCATCAGCGTCGGCTGCTCCAGGAATCGGTGCACCGCTGCGGATACGAGCCTGGCATCACATCACCAAGCCTCTCCGGGGGAGACATTGGGTGCGGTTGTGCGTGCGAGCCACTGCTGGGGCACAACGCGGCCCTCGGCGCCAACGGCCTGCGGACCCAGGCATGCACTAAGACTTCTCACCAGCAACCGGTTTCGCACTTGTAGCGTGCTATGCGCATTTTTGCCACAGGCGCGCACGCCTGCACTTAGCAGGCCCCCTCGTGTACGCAACCGTTCCTTCTTCTCCCCCGCTACAAAGAAATCTCCCGTGGCAATGCCAAACATGTTGTCTGTTGCCTGCTAGCAAGGCCACAGGTAGTTGCGCACGCATAAAGGACGTTTCTGCATCGGCAACACATTTTCCACATGCGGTGTGCCTCCTACCTTTGGTGCGAAAGGACGCAACATAAGCTATATACATATGTTCTATGAACCGCTGTGCCACAAGCCCGCATGTTGCTAACAGGGCGTTGCTGCGATGGCAACAGCTGCAGCACAAAAATAGCTCTGTGCGCAGGCAGTTGCACAGCACCATGTTTCCGCGCTGTTGCGCTAGTGGTGTGTTTGCTGTTCCTGTTGCGGTTTTTTCTTCCCAGTCAGCTTGATTGGACCCATAGCTTTGCGGGTGCTGGTACGCACCTAGCAACACGTTTTTGCACTGGGAACCGCGTTTTGGTTCTGATGCGTCGTTTTCCTCCCGTTTTTGTTCCCTAGTTCCTGTTCCCCGTTTCCCTTTACACGATTCGGGTTGCATTGGAGCTTTAACAATCTATAGTTGGAGTGATTGAAAAAATCCAGTCAAATGAGTTCCTACCTGCCGTTGGGTTGCCCAGCTGGCTTATATTTTTCAGTACGCCGGGTAGGTTCTGATGGAATACTGCACGCGGACAAAACAAATTTGCAAAACTGCCGAATTTGACAGTAGTCCTTCCCAGGGTTGACATACCATTTCTGCGTACTTGGTTGCCGTTTCCAGCGTGTCCAAAATTTTGCCAAATGTCAGATACAGCCAACATTGCACAACATCAATCGAAGGAAGGCTACCTGCCTGTGTGAAACTTGGCACTCTTAGATTTGCATGGTGTTTCCGTGATAGTTTACGCTACCACCCTGGCCGACCAAGCGGCCAAATTGGCCGGAGACACGAAAGGTAGGACAGCGGGAAGAGAAGAGAACGCGAGAGGCAGGAACAAAAATGCAATGTTCGACATGGTGATTTATCCCCTCGGAGACGACCTTTCGTAAATATATGTTCATATGCACTCTAGATGTTCAAAAAGATTCTTAGGAAAACAAACTTGCCCCATGGCTCAGATCATCGGTGAGCATTGAATCGGAACATCATAGGATTTGAACTATCCTGAAACGATAAGAGGCTCACGAAGACGCTCCCCAGGAGAGAATTGACGTGCTTCACAAAACAAACTCTAGGTATGTATCCCTCGGGGAACACCTTTCGTGATTAGAATTTCATATTCACTCTTTCTGAATGATCAAGAGGGCTTCAACTACCCTGAAATCATGAGAGGCTCATGAAGACGTTCTCCAGGAGAGAATTGATTTTAGAGGGGGGGAGAGGGGGGGGGGTGTTTTGAAAAAAAAATTCAAAGGGGGGGGGGGGGGGGTCTGTATTGAAAAATCAATTCGGGGAGGGGGGGGTCTGAATTGAGCGATCAATTATTAGACCCGGACGTCCCAACACTTGCTTCGCAAGACAAACTCAAGGATCCCCTAAATTTTTTGTTAGGTTTGTGGAGTTTGTCGGCTCGATGTATTTGACATGCGCCTTGATACATAATGTGTATATATATATATATGCGTACCCGCACCTCACATTTTTTGACGGGCCTCGAACTGGCTATGGTGAGGCAAGCCTAGCTCCACTCGGCACGTTGGCCGGTAAACCACCCCTCTCGCAGGGGCCTTCCTCTCTCGCAAAGGGCTGGGTCCCTCCAGGGCCACGATAGACTGCAAGCTGTCAAGGGGGAAGCCGCCATTCACCTGGAGCGATTCAGGGTTTTCTCTCAAAAAGAGGCAAGCAACCACCTGCCTGAGTGGGCCTTTGACAAGGAGTGCATGAAGTACCTCAAGGCACTTCAACAGGTGACACCCGGAACAGCTCCGGCAGCAGAGGGTCTGCCATGGGCGGGGCCAAACGGACAGGACAGCGGTGAATCAGGAGATCACTCCACAGGAAGCTCCGCCAGAGAAGGCTTGCGGGCGTAGCTTCTCAAGGCTCGTGATGAAGTTGGCCGTCTTTGGTTGTGTGCTCACCGGTGCCAGGTTTGTCTTGTGTGAACTCCTTTCGTTTTTGTGAGAACTGTATCGGCCGCTCAGCCCTTTGCCCTGGCAAGGAGTCACAGGCATCGATTTTACAAGTAGCCAAAGCGTTGACCTTCGGGCCAACTAGCACGTGACCCTGCGACCCTACCTTGGGCCCGGAATTCAATCTGCCCACCCTCTGCGCAAATCAATTTCCCCTATTTTGCGATAAGCGCCGTTGGAGGCAAGGGTGTGCCGTTTCACGCAGCGATCCGTTGGCATCACCAATCTGAATGTGGAGAGTTCGCATACCACGACGAACTCCGCGACGTCTCTTTGAGCGAGATCCGGTGCTGAGAAGGGTGAGACTGAAACGGGAAGCCAAGAACAGTGAAGCCTTACAATTCACACCTACAATGCTAAGCTGAAAGTGAAAATGTGAAGGTCGGCTTGGACGGGTACGGGTAGGTGGGTCATCGTGGAAGCGCTGCTCCGTTTTCCGGAAGATAAGGGAGAGCTTGCCATGGCTAACTCCGTCCCGGACCTGCAATCAGCTTCGGAGGCTGCTTGACAGGCAAGTGTGCGATGAGCACGAGGGCCGCTTGACACCATTGGCACAACAAATGAAGATTGTCGGACCACAAACCACAGCAGCATCAGGATGAAGCAGAGGCGAGGCTTGATGGAGTACTGTGAAGCATTTCTGGTCCACCGGTTCGAACGCAGCGCGTCAGCGGGCTTGTATGGTTTCACATGGTCTCGCTGTGTTGCAGCGGCTCGAACAGT